AGTGTAGTGCTATGATTATTCCTCTTTTGGATTATAGTTTTAGGTGTTTGATAGTTACTTTTGTGTAGTGTAGTGCTATGATTATTCCTCTTTTGTATTATAGTTTTAGGTGTTTGATAATTACTTTTCACAAGTGTTGTAAATATGTGTAATTATTAAAATTTATAAAAAACAAAATTAAAATTAATTTACTTATAATAAATTAATATTATTTTAATTTAATAAATTCATAATTAAGAGTTAAAGACTTTAAGTTAAAAATCTCAAATTTTAATCTTAAATCAGATAGAAAGAAATTTAAAAAAAATTTATTATTTTTTTATATATAACTTATCATTATAAGATGTATAAAAAAAACAAATTAACATTTTTAAGAGTGGTTGTCTACGTGAGAAAGTGCTATGAAAACAATCTCAATACCCACCCTAAATCAAAATTCTAATCTAGTCAACATTATGTGCAGGCTTCTTTCTTTCTTCTTCGAGGTGGTCTAATTCACTGTGGCTGTGACAAAAAGAACGGCTAAGCAGAAAAGGGGAATACATTCTTTCATTGACTTCGATTTTTGACCACCCAATTACACAGTTGATGCTCTTTACTCACCAATAATTTAGGGCCTACTAATATAAGTACTTGAGTTTCCATATCTCACCATCATATTATAAACTATCATTAACCTGGAAAACTTAGTTGCCCAAATAGCAACAGGTACGAGTCCCAGTACCACCTATCCAATTCCAGATCTCTGTAGAAAGTGATTCTACTTGTGTACGGAAGAACAGAGGAGAAAATACACACCCCTGTAATTTTCGAAGCACCGGCAGCCATGTTGTTTGCTCGGTTACAAGTACTGTGCATGAACCCTTGCTCGATTCTCTTCCCACCACAGTCTAGCATGCATTTCTCCAAATCTTTCTCGGCTGTATAGTACAGGCAAGTCAATAAAATTATATTCCATGGTAGGATATAATATAAGATTAAATGAAAAAAAGATAGTTATAATCCAGAGCGAAATATTTGTGCAGGAAGTCGATGAGAAATTATATTCCTCAATAGGATAAAAAGTAAAATAAAGTACTAAAGAAAAACAATTATACTCAGTCACGGTAAAATGTTTATGCTGAATTTTCCTTGAATACAGAGAAAAGAATTGATGGAAGCAGCATAATGCACTCAGTAATGATGCCGTGAATGATTTACAGTTAATAAGTCTGTTTCTACCGGTTGGTAATCCAAATCATGGTAGTCAATATGTAGGACATCAATTATAGCATTAGCATAATGACTGGACCCATCAGCCTGAAATCAAATTCCATCAATGGGAGAACAGTCTTCTATCTTTCTATAGTCAGAACATTTCTAAAGAGATTTTCATGCTAATCAAACTTCAACAACCGGCCTTATGTACATTAAAAAGGCAATTTAATAGTCAATACAAGGAAAAGAATAATAATAATAATAATAATAATAATAATAATAATAATAATAATAATAATAATAAAAAGCTGCACCATTCATGTGTTGGTATAAAAATGTAAGCGAAGAATAAAACTAATCGAGGTTTATTCAGATAATTGTGCTTGTAAGATTATCTAACAATAACCACTAGTCAGAATCAAACTGCAACCTATTATTTGCTAACAATTAGAGATGTTATATCTTCCTCCTAATGGGACATTAGATTCATGACTGGGGTTGATTCGGGCAAGCATGTTTCTCTAGTGGTTGTCATCATGGACCATCTCTTATTCCTATAGATTATCAATATGATTATGGAGTTTCCAAGAACCTTACCTGAATCTAACTCGCCTAAGCTCCTTTTTGCCCCCTGGTAATGCTCTGATAGTTATATAAACCCCTGGCTCATCCTCTTCAACCCATTCATTCTCAAGATCACTGGCATTGCTGATGGATAGTTCTCCTGAGCGATCAGCCTCCCTTGACGAGCTACTCCTCATGGAGGCATCCATTGATGATGTCTCTGTCTTGGCCCCACTAATACTTGAAAGTTTAGGAGTTGAGGCATGACCTGAGTCACAATAATGACGGACTTGTGTTGAGTGCTGATCAAGTGAATCAGAAGATGAGTAGCCCATACCCATCCCTGTGGGACGATATAGATTACGAGGCAACCGTTCTCTAGTTAGAGGTGGTGTCACAGGGCTGGCTTCTGCTGATTCCATCTTTGAGCTCTGTAACATGTTGGAAGATGATATCATTAACATTAATGATTGATCAAAAATGAGAAGAAGAAGCCTTGGGTGCCATACTTTTAAGTTCAGACAGTCAATTGTTTATGCAGATAAAATGGTTAGATGCAACTCATTCCTAATATGTTAGCACCCAAGTTACTCCATCCTTTATGTGGAGGTGATCAGATGGAACGCCCTTAGGACACAATTCCTAGTTGTAGACATAAGACAGGAGCCTTTGCAAGTTGACTTATCAAAATTAGGTCCATGGCATCATTGTGGTAAACTTGCTTTTTTCAGGTAACAACGTAAGAGCTTACCTCATCTTCGGATCTTGGTGGCGTTGGAAGTGGAAAAGCCTGTCGATTAATCCTCTGGACATTGTAAAGTTCCATAACCTTGTCATGGTTCTCTGCCCACCATCTTTGAGCTTGCCATTTGTTAAACGTCTCTCGACTATTCAAAAGGAAATCAACTGCATTTTAGCTCTCTTTATTTTCATGGGGTTACCAACACTGGGAACCAGTGGCATGTCTTATGCATGTCTTAAAGGGTAGCACCTAAATAAATATGGACACATGGTGGAATGCATCATAACATCAATCAATCACAATTTTCTCAAAATTATTCGATTGAGATTATTATAAAATTGAAGTTAATTTTACAGGCTAGAATTATCAAGTTACAGCATGCCATTAACCTTTTCATTTGCCTATTGCTCGAAGCCCCCACCAATCTCATTATTAGTTTCGGAAAAAAGATGGATTTCTTTTCTCAATATGTTAGCCCACTAAATTAACCTCTAATATACCTTTTGACCATAAGAATTCCTCATCTTACTTTCCTCAGCATCGGTGTAAGAATATAATATATTTCTTTAGGTAAAGGTAAGAGGGACCTAACAAACCAGTTGCTTTAAACAAAACAATTCTAAATTTCTAATCCCAATAGTTGAACATAGAGACAATCATCAAACTGACATGAATTATGAACAGCACTCAAGTCAAATGTTTCACTGTCATAAAGAGAGCCAGAAATAATACTTACTGGTTCGAATGACAATTCACCTCTAGTCACTGTCCGTAGAAAACATTGAAAGGTCATAAGCTAGGAGTTGGGTCCCAACTCCTAACTTGTCGCCAACAATAAGTAATAAAGGGTGTATTTTGTCTTGTCTTTTAAGAAGGTTTTGGAGTGGCAGATGACGGAATACTTCCCCCAGTTAAGTGCAGACAAAGTAACCAGAAGGTCACAAGAAGACAAGGCTTCGAAAAAAAAATCAGGCGTGGGCTAAATTTTGATTTTTGAATGAAAGAAAAGGGTATACTGTATAGCCCTTCCCGACACCACGACAAGCCTCAGTGAAAAGCTTCCCAACACAATCAATCACGTCCCACCACCACTGATGAGGCGTCTTTTAGACTTTTCTTTGATTGCTTTATGCACCAAGTCTCGGCGTAATGCTTCTAAATTCCTCCTTCCATATTTTAAAGTGTATCCCTTTTCATTTTCCCACAAATACATTCCTAATTTCTTTTTCTGTAGTTTATTCCGCCAAACCACAGAAAATTTCTTCACAAAAATTTTCATTTTGTGTAGAAAATTACGAAAATCTCATTTAACAAAAGAATCTGAGACCAAATGTCCACAAACTTTTAAGTTTGTGTCCAAAATTAAGGGGACCAACTATCGATTTATCATTTTACAAGTAAAGGTGTATCCTATAACATTATTTGTGCGCTTTTTTTGACTTGGACGATCTTGGCAACTTTAAGAGCACACATTCACATTAATGTTATTTTAAAACAATATTTATTTATAAATAAATTCATTAAAATTTATTTTTGTGTACATTTGTCACACTAAACACTAAAATGTAGGCATTCAAAGTCCAGATACTCATAACCTTAAGCACATAAAGTAAAGCTAAAAGAGATCAAAAGAAACGAGGAAAGAAAATTCGAGCACCAAAGTAATGACTAATGACGTGTCATGCAAAAACTGTGATTAACATCCTAAAATCCTCCTAACCGTCTGATTAGAATCAACAGCATGGAAAAAAAAATTCAGGCAATTAGAGCGCACCTGAAGCGTATCCTCTTGAGATCGTTGCCGCCACGCGGAAGCGAGACGAACGTGATAAGCACGCCGGGCTCCACCTGCGCCACCCATTCCTTTGGCTCGCTCTCTTGAACGAACACGATCGGTTCGGCTCGGCGCCCGCTCATCGATTTCGGGGTCGCCTCTCCGCTCGAGCTCGATATCACCTTCAGCCTCGCCTCCATTTCCTTTCCCCACGTTCTCGGCGTCGCGGAGCTTGAGCTCCCCGTCCGACGGTACGACCACTTAAACCGGTCGGAATCCGCGTCTGATTCCCCTTGGTTCCTGAATCGGTTCTGCGCCGTGCAAGGAGTACAGTGCCTGTACGCCCCCGACGCCTTCAGCGCCATGTCCTTCAACTGAAATTAAAACCAGACTCGCCGCTAATTAAACCTAGCCAAACAAAGCCGTAGAATACGAAACTTAAGGTTAGAATTACCTGAGAAGTGAGAGATTTGATGGCTTGATTTTTTGGTCCCGGTATAGCGGAAGAACTCAATTCCTCCGGCGGACTGAGGGAGTCATCACCGGCTTCCTTAGAACGAGCTATGCAAGTCAGCATTCTTCAATTTCGCACAGATTATTTCTTCTCTGAAAGAGGAACTACATTTTAGATTCCTTTTGAGAAGTGGAGTGAAATTGAAGCAAAGAAGTGATTGGTAGGAGTAAAAGCGAGAGTCCACTTTACCGCACGGAATCTACAGACACAAATTTAGATTAACGTAAATCTGAGAATCAGTGGTTGGTGCAGAGCTAAAACGCACGGAAAACGAGACAATTGATATATGGTGTGTGGCGCTTTAATGCCTCCTTAATTACACGATCAGAGATTCTCTGTTGAAAAATCAAACAAAACGGACTTCACAAATAACCTAAAAAAATGAATAAATTTAAAACTCTTGTAAGTGACCTGTGATCGGCGTTAATGGCGGATTAGGGTCGCAGAGGGTGGGAAGGAGAAGGAAGGTGAAGAGTGGAGTGAGGCTGCGTGGCTAACCGCTATAATAGCGGAGCGCTGATTGCAGTGGGAACTGTGGAAGTTTTCGCTTTAATTCCTTAACCTGTTACTGGGTGATCACCGGTTACGTTTTCTTTGTACGGACATCGAATTGTTGCCGTATTTGCTTGTTTGGGCTTTTTGTCGGCGTGCTGTTCGTCTTTTGTGTGATTTTGGTTTCTTTATGTAAGAGGGCCTGTGATCCAAATGTTGCCGGGCTTCTTCAAATATCTAATGGCCCATGACCCAAAAAGAGATAGCTTAAAAAGTTAAACCCTTGTTTTTTGGGGCCTCTCAACTTATATGAATGATACCAAATTGGTCCCTAAACTTCATTTGGCACCTAAATAGTCTGTCCCTTTACTTTTGTTTTTGTTCTCCATTACTTTTTTCTTGCATGAGCTACTTTCATGGAACAAAGAAGAATTCCAATCACCATATTTTAACTAGTTTACTAAGGATCACTGAAACCAATAATCCTTCTCTTGACCCTTTTCTTGCAGTAATCCTTCTCTTGACCTTTTTCTCGCCCTAGATTTTCATCACTCTTTTTCTTGGTTCCTTCTTTCTCTTAACTGCTGCCTCCTCTCTCTTTCGACAGTTAGGATGGATGGCTATAGGTAGGAATTCTCTCATCTTTTATTAGGATTATTCTTTCTTTTATAGAGATTTCTCCTTCTGTTTTGAGGGTTATTGCCTTTACTTTCTTAATTTTTTTATTCGAGATTTTCTATTGTCAAAGAGGGATAACAACTTAAATGTTATATTGGTTGAGTTCAGATCAATTATTGTACTTATTTTAACTATTAAATGCATAATTGGGGACTGAGTCCCTAGCTAAATTATTTTTTTTATGAACTAAATTATCTTTTATTTAAATGAATTATGTTGTGGCTTAACTGAATAACTTTATTGTTTTGACCATTAATGTCCACAGCAAATAGTCCTCTTCTGTGGCATTTCCATTTCGAATTTTCAATATGTTAATCATAAATGCAAGCACACCACCTTTACCGCTTACTACTTACTAGTAGCACCTTTTGCTACCACCAGAACAATCCTCTAAAACCACACACCACCTGGCCGCCTCCTCGACATTAATCCGACAACACACCCTCCTCTTGCCCATCATCGCTGGGTCTTCGTTTTTTTTTGGTATAAGTCATCATGTTCAACGTTAGAACCTGTGCAGGCCTCATCCATGTAACCTACCCGCTCACGTCACATGTCCTTATCGACCATGGGACCCACATAATATATCCTTCTCCTCCTAGATTCCTAGCAAGAGCCAATCACATGCTTAACACCTCTTACTTGTCGACATTCTCTTAGTGCGTAAATAATATCGACGGTTACCGGTGTTTAGATCTCCGATGAATGTTTTAATGATTGTTTTAGACTCTGTACTTTAGCATTTATTCTCCATTCATGAAAAATCAAGTCCTTTGAGCGTTCTTTATAGATCCCAAGTTCTGATCTGACAAATGTCTTTTTTGCGCCCGAAGAAGGGAACTGCTTCCTCAAAAACACCGAGCAAAGATTCACACACCGAAGACGAAGATGAGAAGAAAGGGAAGAGTAAAGGAAAACAAACAGAAGACTACATCCCCGCCATTAACAAGAAATGCTCATGTCTCGATTGTTGTTTTTGGTTCGTGGGATTCGTATGCTGTATATGGTGGTTCCTGTTGTGCTTGTTCACTACAATGCCAGCTTCGATCCCTCAATTCGTGACGGAGGCTATAGCGGGACCGCTACCGGACCCGCCTAGCATGAAATTGAGCATGGAGGGCCTTACGGCGAAGCATCCGGTAGTGTTCTTGCCAGGAATTGTAACTGGTGGGCTTGAGCTCTGGGAGGGGTGTCAGTGTGCTGATGGATTGTTTAGAAAAAGGCTCTGGGGTGTCTCGTTTGGGGAACTGTATAAATTGTAAAAGACCCTTTTGGAAATGTTGAGGTATGCTCTGTGTTTGCTCTGCTTTTAGTTCTTGGTTTTAGTTTCTCTTGTGGAATGTTCCATATCTTTTTGAAGAAGGCACCATGTCAGGAAGGTGGTCCTCGAGTTCTTTCGGCAATGTGAATGCTCTTTTATGATGGTTTGCATGATGAGTTTGATGCTTTCCTTCTTTTCCCCCTAGGCCTTTTTAAAAATGGAATCTTTTTTTAGCTGCAAATATTATCCATTTGTTTCATGTTTGCTGGTTTGGTTTTAAACTTTATGAATGTGTATGATTGTGGGGTTATAGGAAGCTATGGATAGGTACTCTTTTTGTTGCTTCACTGTTTAGGAAGTATTATAAGGTGGTTGATCTTGTGACTTGTAGACAATCGAATGCAAGTTGGTGAATGGTGACCTTTTGGTTTATGTCATTTGTTTATTACTATTAACCTCCTACATCCGAAAGTCACATTGGGCCTTGATTAAATATGAGCCAAGCCATGTTAGACCCTATTAGGGGAAACTCTTACAACCAACGTCTATCTCTCCATTCACAAGACTCAGAATCAAGACCTTACTTAAGGGAATCAAGTACCTTAAACTAGGACCAACAAATCATTGGTATTTTGTTTATGTCATGGAATCATGTACAGCCAAGTGTGTAAAAAGTCTACTAAATTGTTAATTAGGTTGCTTTAAGAGTGCAAAGTTTCATTTTGCTATGCTTTTCTATGGATGGAAAGATTAGTTTTGGTTTCTTGAATTTGACATATTCTCATATCTTTAAATTTTAGCTTGAAAAGGAAAAATAATTAACGGAGGAAAGGGTATCATGGAGAGAACTTAGAACTTATATCTAACTGATAGTGGATGACTTTGTATCTGGTTTGATACATTTATGTGTCAATTTGCTCAAACTATTCAATTTTTATGGTTGTTTAGATGAGGTCTTATGAT